AGGCGTGCGAACGATAGATACGCGCCGTCTAGAGTGGCCCTGGTTGCCAGAGAATCTTCTTCCCAGAATTGGGGGGGGGCGGGAGAAGGAGGGAGGGGCGGGGAGCTTCGCAGAAAGGTCCGCGGCTGAAACGGAGGTTGGGGCGGCGTTGCGTGCAAAAGGCAGGGAAGGATCGATGACCTCGGGGTCGCCCTTCTAAATCAGGCACTTGCACCTCCCTGGGTCCTGCGCCGTGCAGGGAAGTCGGGGAGCCCCTCGGATTGTCAAAGAGGGGGATTTTTTCCCCCTACGTGGGTGAAAATTGAAGGGAAAGGCGCCCGGTAGCACCTTTGCCATTTATAACACATTTCCTTACCTCCAGGACTCGCAAGATTCTTTTCTTTCGCCAGGTACTTGTGTATACATCCGAACTAGATTGTGGTGCATTACTAAATGCCGAAAGTGCACGGAACGCTGTTACCTTCCCACCAAAGGTGGTCCTTATTTTTCTACTTGCATTTTGACATGCTTTCGAGCTAGGTTGGCGGAAGCTGGGACAAGTAGCGGCACTAGGGATTCGAACTGCCGAACTCTCTGATTGACAAGCTCAGCGTCTTAGCCACTGAGCCACCCCGTCCCTCTAAGTCATGATTAAAATGAGCTCTTTGTATGAATTATAAATCCTGTTTCATCTAGAAGAGTGTGTTCTTGTTTCTGCTTCAATTTGGATGCTTTTATGAATTATTTTCCAGGCAAGATGTAGAGGAAACAATGCAGGATGGCATTAGAAGCCATGTGGAAAGAAAACTGGTGGCAGAAGGAAGACAAGCGAAGTAGCTCCATTGGAAGGCTTCTGACTGGACCAAATCCAGAAGAATCTGAGAAGGAATCAGAGGTGCGGCAGGAGCAAAGGGGTGAAAGTCATTGGTGGGAGTTGCTGGAGGCCAGTCAGTCCTCAGCCTGAATGAAAACAGCCCCAGCAGCCTCAGCTTCAATCAGAGAATAGAATGGAATAGACGTAGAAAATGGAACAGAATAGAACAGAATTCTTTATTGGCCAAGTGTGATTGGACACACAAGGAATTTGTCTTTGGTGCATCTGCTTTCAGTGTACATAAAAAGACAAGATACATTCTTCAAGAATCATAAGGTACAGCACTTAATGATAGTCATAGAGTACAAATAAGCAATCAGGAAACAATCATTATCAATATAAATTGTAGGATACAAGCAGCAAAGTTACAGTACTGCAGTCATAAGCGGGAGGAGATAAGTGATAGGAACGATGAGAAGACTAATAGTAACAGTAATGTAGCCTTAGTGAATACTTTGACAGTGGTGAGGGAATTATTTGTTTAGCAGAGTGATGGCGTTCGGGAAATAACTGTCCTTGTGTCTAGTTGTTCTGGTGTACAGTGCTCTACAGCATCATTTTGAGGGTAGGAGTTGAAACAATTTATGTCCAGGATGCGAGGGGGTCTGTAAATATTTTCATGGCCCTCTTTTTGACTCGTGTAGTGTACAATGGAAGGCAGGTTGGTAGTAAGTGTTTTTTTCTGCAGTTCTAATTATCCTCTGAAGTCTTTGTCTGTCTTGTTGGGTTACAGAACCATGAACACGCAAAAGCTTGACAAAAATTGTTACATTTCCATAAATCATCATGAGTGGCCAATTATGAGAGCATCATATTAAACAATGCTGTCAATGTATGATTTGAACTGGGGACTTGATAGAGTTATGTGTATTTTGCTTTCATTTTTTTTTTTATAGCAAGTCCAGGTATTTTTCTCCAACTTGGAAAAGAATGCAGGAGAATCAAAGAAGATGCAGCCGCCTGAGAAAACTCATCAAGAAGGAAACAGAAAGACCACCGTTTCCGGTAAGGCTTCTTGGATTTCTCCTGTTATCTTAATGTAAAATTAGGACAGCTGCAGGAAGGGCTGAAAGTAAACAAACCCAATGAGTGTTTTAACACATTATAGAGGTAGTCCTCGACTTACGACCAAAATTTATATTGCTAAAACATTTGTTCAGTGAATTCTGCCCCATTTTACGACTTTTCTTGCCACTGTTGTTAAGTGAATCATTGCAATTGTTAATTCACTAACACGGTTGTTAAGTGAATCCGGCTTCCGCAATGACTTTGCTTGTCAGAGTGTCGCAAAAGGGGATCACATAACCCTGGGACACTGCAGCCATTATCAGCATGATCATGTGACTACAGGGAGGCTACAATGGTTGTGAGTATGAAAAACGGTCGTAGGTCACTTTTTTCGGTGCTCTTGTAACTTTGAATGGTCATTAAATGAACTGTTGTAAGTTGAGGACTACCTGTAATTCTTAGCTAATAAGGTATTTGTAACTTGCCTCAATTTTACGAGTAAGAGAAAATAAGCATTCTATTTTCCCCTTTTATCAGGCCTGCAGTGACACAACCATAATGTGGCTAGGTGGGTATGCATTATGGAGGGTGGGCAGGTGGAAGGGTGGGGAGAGGGCTGCAGGCATGCATACATTATGGAGCATGAGTTATCTAGGATGTTGCACTTTGTAGCTGATCCATAGGAGAAGAAGTGGTAGGGGTGGCAGCGAGTTTCAGGACCAATCTGCAACCTTCTTTGTTGCTTCCCCATTGACTTTGTTTGCGGAAAACCAGCAGGGAAGGTCCCAAATGATGATCACATGACTACTAGACCCTACAACACTTGTGAACTGGTTGCCAAGTGCCTGGATTGCAATCAGGCGAACCCTGGATTGCTAGGACAGCTGGAACATCAGTTATCAGTTATTATGGACTTTCTGTCTAAGGCAGCAGTGCCTCAGATAGAAAGTCCATACAGAGAGTGGTAAGGACAGCTGAGATTATAGGAAACTCGCTTCCTGTCATTGAGGATACTGCTTATAAGCGCTATGTGCGTAGCACTCAAAGCATTATTAGAGACCCCACATACCCACTTCATGATCTGTTTCTGTTGCTTCCCTCAGTTTCGAAGTGTTTCTAGCAGGACTGCCAGATTCTGTAACAGCTTTGCTCCCTATGCCATCCAACTTGCAAGATTCGTTTCTCTCACCTTGTACATGTATGCATTCAAATTAGACTATGCTGTTTCTCTGTGTCATATAATATATGTGGGTACATGCATAATTTTGTATTTATTTTGTCATGTTTATGTAGTGTATATTAGAGGTGGAGACCCTTCGAGAGCTGTACGCAATGAAATTTCATGTTAATGTATGCCGATTAGTGTACATTCAAAGTGACAATAAATTTATTCTAAGTTCAGCACCATTGTAATTTTGAACAGCCAGAACATGTGTGGTCATTAATCAAGAACTACCTATGCCCTCTTCTATATTTTAAGGTTAGGCAACGTTTTCTCCCACTGTTAACAAAAGATCAATTACAGGTAGTCCTCGACTTACAAGAGTTCACTCAGTGATAATTCAAAGTTACAACAGAACTGAAAAAAAGTGATTTATGACCATTTTTTCACAGCTACGCCATGTGTAGCATCCCCCTGGCCACGTGGTCAAAATTGAGATGCTTGGCAACTGGTTCATATTTATGACGGTTGCAGTGTCCCTGGGTCATGTGATCCCCTTTTGCGACGTTCTGACCAGCAAAGTCAATGGGGAAGACGGAGTCACTTAACAACCATGTTGCTAGCTTAACAACTACAATGATTTACTTAACAACTGTGACCAGAAAGGTCGTAAAATGGAGCCCAACTCACTTATCAAATGTCTCACTTAACAACAGAAATGTTGGGGTCAAATGTGGTTGTAAGTCAAAGACCACCTGTACGGTTGTGGGCAATATGAATTAAAAACCTCAATCGATTATCATGTTGGTATAATAAAAGCAGTTCTGATCAAAACAAGGAAAAGTTGCCTTATTTTCTTTAAAAATCAAATAAAAATCATGACACTATCTCTCCCCCCCACCCCCCATCAGGTATTGGACGAGGGAAGGCAGCCCTGGGAAGAAGTATTGCGTTGAAGAGTTTGGGCCATTTGGAACTCCATAAAGCTTTACAGGAGAAAGCCCAAATTAATTGTTTTCGATTTCATGAAAAGGAAGAGACACCTGGACATCCGGCAGAGAGGCAAAACTGATTTGGACTGCAATCTAGACCTGGTAGGAAAGCAATCCCTATTTTGGGAGGAAGGAGACAGTGGTTTGGATGAAAATGCCATTCAGCAGGGGATTAAGCAGATGTTTGATCTCCTTGAGAATCCCAGGCGGCCAGCGGTGCCACAGCCCTACAGATGCTCCTATTGTGGGAAAAACACTAGCTGCAGATCGCAGCTGATTATGCATAAGAGGATCCACACTGGAGAAAAACCGTACAGGTGCTTTGAATGTGGTAAAAGCTTTGGTCGAAACAGCTCCCTGGTGGTTCACCGAAGGACCCACACGGGAAAAAAGCCGTACGAATGCTCCGAGTGTGGGAAGGTCTTTCGCTGCAGCTCCAACCTTTTTATCCACAAAAGGACCCACACTGGAGAGAAACCTTATCAGTGCTGTCGGTGCGGCAAAAGATTTAGCGAGCACACCACCCTTGTGATTCACAAGAGGACTCACACAGGAGAGAAACCGTTTGAATGTCCGGAATGCAGGAAAAGCTTCAATACTAGTTCAAATCTTACGAGTCATGTGAAGTTACACACGGGAGAGGAACCCCACAAATGTTTGCAGTGTGGGAAAAGTTTCAGTCGGAATTCCAACCTGGTGATACATCAGAGGACTCATACAGGAGAGAAACCGTACGAGTGTCCCGATTGTGGGAAAGGTTTCACAACTAGCTCAAATCTAATAAGTCATGTCAGTTTACACACGGGTGAGAAGCCGTTCAGATGCCCAAACTGTAGTCAGTGTTTCAGCCACTACTCCACTCTTATTAAACACAAGAGGACTCATACAGGAGAAAAGACTATCAGCATTCTGATTGCAAGACAAACTTGATGATCCCTCTGGGGAACTTCCAAGAGTTCACCAGGATGCAAACCATTGTTTGTTTCCAGCTTGCCGGGTTATTTTCAGCCAAAGAAGCAACTTTATTGACCACGAGAGACACAACCAGAAGAAATGCCCAGTGCACAAGAAGAGGATTTGCTTGCAAAAATCAATGAATCAATAAATGAGAATNACTATTATTCTTCTCTTACTTCCTAGTATCTATCTATCCATACTTACGACTATAATCATGTTGCTTGTATCTTTCAATTTATAATGTTTTTATTTGGTTCCTAGTACAATTTGATAGCTTATTAGTAACCTTGACTATCAGTAAGTATTGTACCTTTTTATTCTTGATTAATGTATTTTATTCTGTTATGCACACTGAGAGGATATACACCAAAGTCAAATTCCTTGTGTGCAGGGGTGGTTTGCTGCCGGTTTTACTACTAGTTCGCAACCCGCGTGTGTGCACTGTTCAATGTAAATTGTTTTGGGTGCATGAGCAGAAAAATGTACAGTGAACTGCGCACGGGCAGTCACTAAAACCCAAAATGGTGGCAGCCCAGCAGCAGTGAGGGAACCAGTTCGGGAGGGTGGCAGGCCTGGGTCGCTGGCGGTTCTGCAACCTAGGCCTGATTGCCACAACCGGTTCGCTGAACCGGGGCAACCCACTTCTGCTCGTGTGTCCAATCACATTTGGCCAATAAAGAATTCTATTCTATTCTAAGGAGCCATGTTGTAGTAGCTAATGGAACTGCTATGAAAATCCCAAGCACTGCCTAATGAAGAACTGTTGAGGGAGACACTACTTTTTCATTAACTTCAAAAAACAATATTCTGTGAAATGACTAAAAAAAACCCTACAGGTTACAACCTAACATTTTAGGTAATAATGTTGGAAATATGAGTGATTGAGAATTAATCATTAATCAACTGAACTGAAAAAGTGCCCCAATTAATTCCTGCACCAGAGGGAAAAAAATAGATGTTAGAGAAGAAACAGTGACCACTTCCTCAAATTCAGGACCCTCTTATATCCCTCAGGAGTGGAGGTGGTTGAAACAGGGTTGAATTCTCTTTTCTCTCAGAATGAACTCCAAGAGGAAACAAGCATTTTAAGAAACAAAAGGATTCAAAGAAGAAATCAGTTCTCCAAATACTAGTAATCAGAAGGCTAATTCTACTGACTGCAAACAGTTCTGCAGTTTGATCCTGACCAGCTCAAGGTTGACAGCCTTCAAGCTGCCATTAGCAGTTCATTACAGACATCGAAAGATCCCTGATTCCCCCCCCCCCCACTAACCAGGAGTTCCCAGGATGAGACACATACAGACACACACACACCCCTTCCTCACCTGCTGCCCCTTTCCCGGCTCTTCCCTCTGGGCTTGGCTGAGCAGGAAGCCTTCGGCCAGGGCCACCGCCTGGGAACAGCTCTCGGCTCCGCACTCCCTCACCCAGCTGGCCATCTCCGCGGGCAGCACGGCCAGCAGCTGCTCCAACACCACCAGGTCCAGCATCTCCCCTTTGCTGATCCTTTCTTTCCGGCCGCAGCCACTGACGGTACAGCCGGTGCAAGCGGCTGCAAAGCTCCCG